CAGGTGGATCTCTGTGAGTTTGAGGCCAGCCTGGTCTCCAGAGTGAGTGCCAGGATAGGCTCCAAAGCTACACAGAGAAACCCTGTCTCGAAAAAAACCAAAAACACAAACAAACAAACAAACAAAACAATAAAACCCAAAACACCAGGAAGCTAGCACCAAAGCTCTATTTCTGCTTTCACTCAATTTTCTACTCAAAAACTTTCTGCAGCAATAAAAGAATGGGGCTTTTCCAAGGTACAGGGGTATACAAGGTATTACTGCACCATCCAATATTTTATGCTTTGTGTGTATGTGGTGCTGGGGGTCAATCCCTCCACTACTGGAACATACCCTGTATGCTACATGAATATATATGATTTTAAGATTTTACTTATTATTAAATGTGCATATATGATGCATGATGTGTCAAAGGATACCCTGCAGCCCTTATAGAGAGGTCAGAGGACAACTTTTAAGAGTTATTTTTCTGCTTCTACCATGGTTTCTGGGGATCAAACTCCAGTCATCAGGCTTGCACAGCCATGATGAGCCCATGAATTTTTAAGAATACATAAGATTGTGACTGGAGAAACTAATCAATCAGCAGTTAAAAATATTGGTTGCTCTTCTAGAGGCCCTGGGTTCAGTGTGGTTCACAAACATCTCTAAGTCCAGTTCCAGAGGAACAAATTCTTTCTTCTAGCCTCCACAGAAAACAGGTCTAATGTGGTACACAGCTATATAGACAAGCAAAACATCCATAAAAATATATACAAGCGGCCAGGCAATGGTGGCACACACCTCTTAATCCCAGCACTGGGGAGGCAGAGGCAGGCAGATCTCTGTGAGTTCGAGACCAGCCTGGTCTACAAGAGCTAGTTCCAGGACAGCCTCCAAAGCTACAGACAAACCCTGTCTCAAAAAAAAAAAAATACATACATACATACATACATACATACATACATACATACATACATAAAGCTCTACAAAGAATTATCTAGTTCAAGACAGAAGTAGTGCCGACAGTGAGGACTCTGTAGTGGAAAGTTGGTGTTGTGAAAGTCATGTGTCCCTTGATGTGGATGAGAGACTGTAAAAAAAAATGTATGTATGTATGTATGTATGTATGCATGTATGTATGTATGTATGTGCACATAAGCTCATGATTCTGTCTTCATAATAAAACTGGCTTAGAACTGGATCAAACGCTTGTATCTTTTAGTAACTGGAATTCTTAGATCTCCAGGTGGTTCAACACTGAGGCCCTAGAACAAGTTTCTGTGTTTTTGGCTTTTTTGTGGAAACACAGGCTCAGTCTGCCACTGTAGCTGCTTCTGATAATTAACCCCACACCATATACATTAACAGTATCAGAGATGAGATCAAAGTAAGCCTCCTATTCCATTTCTATTTCCAATCACTTTTTGTCTTTAAGATCCTTCTTCTAGCTTAGTGGTACACTGCAAGGCCCTAGGTTCATCCCTCGCATCACAAGCCAAACAAAAACTCATTCATAAAAATCAAGAAAACTTAATTCGATGTGTTCGCTAGCCTACAGTCTCAGCTGAAGTAGGACAGACTACAGACCATGGTGTATCCTCTAAAACCCAATACTTACGCATCTGTGGTCTTTGTACATCCATTTAGATTCAGTACTTCAATATTCCTACAATTTTGTGCAAAGGTCCTTTATGGGGAAATAAAAGTTAAAGGTTATTAACAAGCTGGGCACAATTCTAGATAAAAGAAAGGCATTACCACCGGTAATACTGGTTGTTGGCACCAATGAGCCTTTATATGTAAAATAAAGTTTCTAGGATAGAGATCTTAAGACCTTGTAATTTCCTGAGTGACAGGTCATAGGAGTAGCATTTACTATCATATTTGATCCTTATGTCTCTGTGACACAATCTCCATAAAACCACTAAACAATGGGTGTGCTGGGGGATGGCAGGCCCCAACTCTGCAAGGACCGATGCTCCTGTGCTCCAGTCCCTTCTAAACCTTGCCTGTGTAGCACTTCCTCCGGCTATTCACTTATGCACTTTATCTTTCCTCACTGCACAGCTCTGGCTGATCTTGAACTTGCAATTCTTCTGCCTCGACTTCTCAGTTTCTGGGATTAAATGTTGAACTTTGTGTCAACAAAAGCTAAATGACTTTATCTTTGAGTTAAAAAAAAGTCTATAAAAATCAACTCACTCAAGGTCCCCAAAGAGCTATTTTAATGTGGCGCTCTCTTCTATGTAGCCTAGGCTGACTCAAACGCAAGAGCCTCCTCCTCAAACATGCTAACACTGGGATTAAGGGTTAAGCCTGGGACCCCACTTCCTATTAGATATTTTTTGTTATAACCAAAGTATATGCTTGTATTTTTAACAGCTCAGGAAAACTTAAAAGCTACTTGAGCCTTTTCTGAGTGAGATGGTGCTATCTTTACTTCAATCTAAGACATTAAAAGCTGTTTTTAAACAGTTCTGTTTTCTTACCTTAATGCATTGTCTCCTACTCCGAGACACCCACGAAGACTCAACTTTCGTAAAAAGCCTCCACATCGTTTCGAGATATTTTCCACTACCCGGCCCTATAAAGAGACAGTTAAGCAGAAAGATGGCCTGTTACTTCTCTTGACAAGAACACATATTCTTATTCTCTCTCTCTCTCTCTCTCTCTCTCTCTCTCTCTCTCTCTCTCTCTCTCTCTCTCTCCAGAGAGAAAAGGCTTCTAAGTAAGGAAATTCTATGAAAATTTCAACTTATTCAGAGAACGTATTTCTGATTAACCCATCTACTCAAAACACAACCATAGCCTGAATCTTTCTTTAGTCACCCTGCAGGACAGCCCGCATTTGAGAACCTTGCTGAGCTCTGTATGCACATATATGCCTCACCTGGATTAAAACACAGATACATAGATAGGGAAGGATATAACCTTCCACAATTTCTTTTATGTTCTTTAAAAGTTCTACAGAACTCTGCATACAGCAGGAACTCAAGGATCAACTACTACCTTGCTGAATGATTCTGTGGGTCATAGTTTTTGAACATATATAAGACAATTGTACAGTAAATGCAGCACAGTGTTAGGGGGTTGGTTTTGCTTTGTTTTGTTTTTTCGAGACAGGGTTTCTCTGTAGCTTTGGAGCCTATCCTGGCACTCACGCTCTAGAGCAGGCTGGTCTCAGAGATCCACCTGCCTCTGCCTCCTTCTGGAATTAAAGGTGTGGGCCATCAATGCCCTGCCAACTCCAACTAGGGCCTAGGGGGTTGTTTTTTGTTGATAATTTTACGTGAGCCTGTGTACCGCATGTATGCAGTACCTGTGGAGGTCAGAAGAGGGAGCCTGGTTCCCTGAATCTGGATTTAAAGAGGCTCTATTGTTGATCTTGAGACATATCTCTGTATGATTACTAGGTAGCTAAGGAAGAACTTGAACTTTGTGTGGTGGGTGCATATGTGTGCAGGAGCACTTGCCTATGCAGGTCTGGATACTTCTCTAATGGCTTCATTTTATTTTTTGAAATAGGGCTTCTCCCTGAACCTGGAGCTTTCACTATGGTAGAGTAGCTAGCCAGCAAGCACCTGTCTTTGTTTCCCCTCCCCTCAGTCTGGAGTTACAGGTATACTGATGTGGGGGATGTTCTTTATAGAAGAACATTGGCCAATGGCGGGGCAGAATATAGCTAGGTGGGAAATCCAAGAACATAGAGGGAGAAAGAAGGCAGAGTCAGGAGAAGCAGCAAGAAAAGGAGGAGAGGAGGAGCCAGACACCCAGCCAGCCATGGAGTAAGTCTGAAAGTGAGATATACAGAAACGAAGGAAAAAGCCCAGAGATAGAAGGTAGTTAGGATATTTGTAGATAAAAAAGCAGGCTCCCTGTGTTGGTGGCACACACACTCGGGAGAGACAAAAGCTGGTGATCTTTGTGAGTTTGAGGCCAGCCTGGTTTGCAGAGTGAGTTCCAGGGTAGCCAGGGATACACAGAGAAACCCTGTCTCAAAAAAAAAAAAAAAAAGAAAAAAAAGAAAAGAAAAGAAAAGAAAAGAAAAGCAGGCAAGAAACAAGCCAAGCTAAGGCTGGGCATTCATAAAAAAAGACTAAGATTCTGAGTGTGTGATTTATTTGGGTTCTGGGTGGTGGGCCCTCCAAAACAGTAAGACCAGAGTAACGAGTACAACCAACAGTGTATCTCCACTCCTGACTTGTATACAGATGCTGGGGATCTAAACTCAAGTCCTTACTACTCTTGCAGGGCAAAGACTTTATCAACTGAGCTGTCTCCCACCCCGTGAACCTGAACATCTTTCTGACCTTCTGGGTTACAGGCATGAGCAAGCCTTAGAGGTAACAGGCTATATTAAAAGATTAAATGGAAAGAAAGAACCCGATACCCAAGAAAATCACCTTTCATTAGTAAAAACAATTTAATAATTCTAGTTTTATCCATTCTTCATTATCCATAAAAACTATCTCCATTTTTGTTCACCCCAAGAATCAAAATACACCTCAAGAAGAAACACAAGTATCATCCAACAAGTTTAAGCCTCCTTACCATTCAATAAGCTAATATAACATAACCCTGCTTTACATGAGCAAACACAAAACTACTACAAAACAAAATCTTCTGGTCTCAGTTCAGTACTAAGGTTATTAAGAACTTAGCATTATTTCAGGGAAATAATTCCACTTAACCTCGAAAACCAAAGGAAATTGAGGGTAGAAAACCAAGCCAGTGGGAAAGTATGGCCTTATCATGCATTAGGCCCTCGGTTTGAATCCTACCTTCCCAGATCAAGAAACACTTGTTGTTTTGTTTTGAGACACAGTCTCACTGTGTAGCCAGGCTAGCCTCCCAACTCATGTTGACCTGCCTTACTCTGCTTCAATGAAAGGCTTGTCACCACGTCTACCTAAGAAAATCCCTAGAACAGTGGAGGCTTCCATGATATTCAGCTGTACCAAAAATAGTTTCAGTGGAAAAAAATTATATAGCTAGGATTAATGCTGTAACTACTATTGAAATAAATGGGGCCACACACCACGTAATTATACCTCAATATCCCGCTGGAAATCAAACAGGTCAATTCGTTGCCAGTTACTGCCGTCCAGAGCTAGGACATTCCAGGCCTATTTTGAATAAGGAGAGACAGGATGAGCAGAGGTTGAAATGAAAACAGAAACTGACAACATTTAAATTCACAATTCAACTAACAAATAATAAGAATGACCCAAATCGTCCTCAGCTCTTACCAATATTATCTCCAAGCACCTGCAGCACAGTGGTGCGGCACTGGGAGGCAGTGGCTGGGAGCCTGGTGCATGACCTTTCTCTCTAATTATGTTTTCCTCCATTAGCAATGTGCTCAACTATGCCTTATAATTAATCAATATTCTGTCCAACTTGACACAGCTTTATTTTATTGCTTGTCATGCTGGGGATCAAATCCAGGGCCTTGTGCAAGCTTAAAACTGTTTAGCAGTTTTGTCAGTAAACTGGAGGCAGCAAGAAAATTTGTTAAAACTTTTCAATATTCAGGACTGAGTGAGAAATGACTTCGGGAGGAGCAAATTTATTGTGCTCATTTGGTATTTTAAAGCCTTTAAAAGCTTCCCCTAATTAAATAATAAAAGCCATGTATTGTTCAGAACAATAAATGTACCATCTATTGTGTGTGTCTGAGACAAGGTCTCACTATGTAGCCCAAGGGTGTCCCCAAACCCAAGCTACTCAAGCACCAGGGCTATGGGTATGAGCCACTATATCCAGCTATATTTGAGTCAGGGATTCTCGTTGTGTAGCTCTGGCTGTCCTGGAACTCACTCTGTAGACCAGGCTGGCCTTAAATTCAGAGAGATCTGCCAGCCTCTGCCTCCCCAAATACTGGGACTAAAAGAGTATGCCACCGAGACCCAGCACTAGATTACTCCTTATTACAACAAATCTAAGAAACAATTTTTAACGTATATTATACTTATTGTCATTTCTCTGAAAAACAATTTTTTCGGTACCAGGTCTCACTGTGTAACCCTGGTTTACCTTGAACTCTTAAAGACCCCCTTAGCCTCTGCCTCCCAAGTGCTGGGATTAAGGCTTGGGCCACCATGTCCTCTCCAAAAATTTCAAAACCAAGGGTAATTGTCATATGATCAGTAAGAAACATGTAGGGGTGTGACAGTAAGCAAGAAGCTATTCTAAAACTAGGTCAGGTTCTCACGTGGTCAATGTTACTGTTCTCTTTGTGGCTTCAGATTTTTCCAGTGGTTTTTCTGTTTGTTTTGTTTTGTTCTTTCTTTTAAATAGCTAGCCATGGAAGTAACAAATAAAACTCTTAAAAACCACATGTTTAAGAGATTCTTGAACTAAATATATCTTTGATTGTGTGCTAGTCCTTGCCAGGTTCTTCAGGGAGCAGGAAGCATGCAGGACTCAGCCTAAAATTAGGAATGACAGGTTACTCCCTAGAGTCTGCATTAAAAGAAAAAACAAAACAAAAACCTCAACGTGTTGGCAGTATGGCTCAGTACTAGGCCTAGGCCAGTGCTCCAGCAGTGCAAGAGCAAACATCTTTCTCTCAATACAATCCTTAATTGCCAAGAACAGATACCAATGCACCAACAATCCAGACTTAATGACTACAGTTCACTTGTGAGCACACTGGATGATGACTTCAGCTCACTTGTACAAAGAATGCTTGCACTTAAAGAGAGTACAGTTACATGACATGAACAGCTTAAAGAAATCATGACCCTACTGATGGTTCCCAAAATGGCAGATACACAAATAAGTATAGCTTTTAGGACCCACAATGAGGTCTTGGTTTTTATATACAGTGGCAGTAGGAGCTACTGTGGGGGTTTGAAGAAACACTTATCCAAACACAGTACTTTATGAGACCTGCATGAGTACTGGTCTACTCTGCAGTTTTGCTCCTCTTTTGGAGGAAAGACTATGCGGAGATAACAAGAATTAGATACTCAAGAGGCTTTAGTACATCCATCTATGTGCTGGTGTAAAATGAAGTATAAAAACAGTAAATTATGCTTTTGTTATAATTTGTTGAGTCAAGCTTAATTAATTAGCTGAGTCAATGCTTTTCTGACATAAAGTAGCCCTTGTGTGTAACATGCAAATGTTAGGAACAGTACATAACACAGAATCCATCATAGAACCATATGGGACAGACAGTGTACCCAGAGTGAAATAATGTCTTCTGTAAAATATACACGTGACACCTAAACTACTTGCTATCAGCCTCGGAGCCAAAAAAAGATCCCTCTAATGTTGACCATCTTACCCTGGAGACCTGAGCACAGCGACACAAGGTAACAACATCCAGGAAAGAAAATATCCTAAGAAGAAAAGAGAGGGAACAAACTTTTATCATCTCTCACTGATATACTGTCTCATACATTCTCTCTCCTATGTACCCCCACTATGTTGATCAGGATGATCCTGAACGTGAGACCCTTCTTCCATAGTCTCTGGAGTGCAAGGCTTACAGTTGTGCAAGTAACGTATCTATTTTTTTTTAACTAAAAAGTTAAAAGTTTTAGTGTACAAAATAGGTTTCATTATATTTTATGTATATCATTGTACACTGCTCACAGTCATCTCTCTAGTACACTGTCTCCTCCCCATCTTGCTAGTCCCCTTTCCACCCTCAAAGAGTTGCTTAAAAAATTTCTCACAGTATCGTACACACACGAACACCTCCATCATTCAGAGGCAGTTCTTTCAAACAATACAAATGTACCCTGAGCAATTTGAAAAAAAATAAAATTGAGAGACAGAGCAGTTATGATCAGCTCCTTATGTACCTATAGAAAGTGTATAGTTCAAGAGCATTAAGCAATGCAATTTCCACCAATCTTTAAAACTTTATCTTGTCAAACTGAAACTTTTTTTTTTATAATCCCTCTCCATCACCTCCCTTTCAGCCCTTGGCAACCACCATTGTACTTTCTCTCTGGGCAAAGTACTTGCTATTATTTCATTTGTAAGGTTGAATACTAGTTCATTATATATAAATACATTTTATATAAATTCTACACATCCATCCACGGATACCTGTATTACCTTCCCCACTGGTTATTACAAGCTCTGCTCCTATGTACACAAATACTGTCTGAGTCCGTGATTTCAATTGTTTCAGGTATATCCAGGAGTACAACAAATAATATATCATATTATTATTATTTTGTTTTTGTTTTTTCTTAAAGTCACACTAACGGCTTATGAAATAAGAATTGGTATCTTTGTGTGCCTTTGTGGTTGGCCTCCAACTCAGGACACTTCTCCTTCCTTGGCCTCCCAGGTACTTCATTTAAGTCACGATGCCAAGCTTAGGAATTTTCTGACATGCTTGGCCATTTGCACATTTTCTTCTGAAAACCACCTATTTAAGTCCTGTAGTCATTTTAAAATCAGGAAGTTTGTGGGTTTTGTGGTTGCACTGTGCATTCAAGACTACGGACCTTCATCCTACAAGTAAGTATTTTCTTCCATTCTTAGGGTTGCCTATTATTGCTGTAGCATCTTCTAATGTGCAAGTTTTATACTATGCTGCAGAACAAGTTCTACAGTTTTCTTTTGCTTCCTCAGTTTGGGGTATCAGGTTCAATGTCATGAAGCCTCCTCCCTATGTTCTACCCTAAAGTTTTTATAATTTTAACTCTTACGCTTAAATATAATTTTAACTCTTACATACTGGGTACGGTATAAAGTAAGAGTCTAACTTCATTTTTCATGTAAGCTGCTGGGATCAAACACAAGGCTTCCCACAAGTCACCACTGAACTACATTTACATTCTTTAGTTCAACTTTATCCTTGTGCATGTGGATGTTTTCCCAACGCACCCCTGTCAGAAATAATTTGAGGATGTGTGTGTGCTGGGGAGTCTTTTTGACTACCTTTCACTGCCCTTTATGTCTTCTTTAAGTATCACACACTCAAGTATCTCCAGTTCTGATGCCAACATTGCTTTCTTGCTCTCTGTTCTGTAGGACAGGATTTCACTATATATGCGAAGCCATCAACTCCTGACCCTTCCACCCCATCTTTCAGAATGCTGAAATACAGGTATGCACTGTGCCACTCAGCTGCAGAGGGTGGTTTGGATGATTCAAATAGTTGCACAGTGTCAAGAAGAAAAAAGGAAACTAACAATAGCACTGAATTAATTGTTACAAGAAATTTCTCTTATGTAAAAGCCCTACTTCTGTGCTAATCCACAAACCTTTTGAGACAGGGTCTCAAGTTGACCCTGTATCCCTAGCAGGCTTTGTGATTTTTCTACCTCAGCCTTCGAAGTGACTAGTATTACCTGAACTACCAGTCTCATCTTAGATTTGACGCATTTTTTATTTGTTGCACGTAAGAGACTGCTAACTGAGTTGGAAGGACTAAGACCAACAGAGTGAGCAAACATAACTGCTCTATACCCTACAATGTCAGGAAAATACCCGAACAAAAAAAGCCCAGAAAACAACTGTGATAATACAATGAAAACAGGTACCAACTGTGCCTGGGTGGCAGTTTGGAAAAAGTGACTGTCTTGCATGCTCAGGGAGCGGAGTTTGGTCCGCTCACACCAGAACCACACACACCTTTCTCACTAGCCTCTGAAGGGAGAGGAGGATAAAGAGAAAGTGTGAGCAGCAGCAGTAGGCTGGCCTCAAACTGAGGGTCAACTCTCCTGCCTAACTCATCAGTGCACACATGGCTCGCTCATGTATCTGCTGAGACACCATCACAGGACTCTCTCTGTAGAGCAGAGTCAGGACAAGCTCTGCCTCCTGCCTGTGCTGGGATTAAAGGTGTGTGTTTTAAAATGACCCTCGTGTCGCACATCTGGGAGGCCACACCAGACATCTGATGTTGTTATCTAGATACTTTCAGCACCATTATTTTAACTACACTGATACTCGTTAGCTATGCAAGCCTTATTCAGTTTATATCAGGTAGCTAGCTTTACAGAGTACACTGAATTCTTCAGCGTATACTGTGTATCAGACCTGCCTCACTGCAAAAAATACCTGACCATCACAATTTCATAAGTTACTTGGCCGTGCTGTTGCTTAGACCATTGGTGAGGTGGTGTGCATCATGAGGGGGATATGTGGTAGCCAGGAAGCAAAGAGGCAGGAAGGGGCCAGGTTCTAATGCCTTCTGACCTCTGTAGTCACTGTACACATGCGGTACACAGACATACAAGGACACAGAACACCTGTACACATGGAGTAAAATTGACATTTTTTAATAGTACTAATGACATGTCTCTTTGATCGTACTGGGCAACCAGCAAAACCATTTTCTATGCAAAAACCATCACAACCAAGCTCTGTGGTAAAGGAAGGTCAGCCACTGTGGGTGTGCAGGACATTTAAGGTTCATTATCGTGATTATCAATGACAAAGGACAAAAGCTAGAGAATAGGAGAAAGAGCAATGCTCCTGAGTCCTTTCCAGGAGCCCCCTTCTTAGCCTGATTGATCCATCACATGTTTGATTATCAGGAAGCTTCTGGGATCTTTTTTCTTGAGGAAATACAAAGGTTGGATGAGCTACACACCTTTGATCTCAGCACTGGGGAGGTAAGTGGTAACTGGTAAGGCTAGGTTGGTCTACATAGTGTTCCAGGATAGCCAGAGCTATACAGTGGGATCATGACTCAAACAAAACAAAAAGGTAGGATAGTGTTTTACTGAGGTAAAGGCACAGTTATTAGAATTCTTATTTACTTGTATACCTCAAACACAAAAAATTACCTTTGATCCAAAACTAAAACCAAGACTATTTATGGCATCTCACAAGTGTATGTAACTCAAGTTTTAAGGTTACATAGTGACATCATATCTCAAAAAACAAAACAAAAACCAAGCAAAGGAGTATTTATATAATCTATGACCTCATAAGAAATACATTTAAAGTTTTAAGTCTGTTCTAAAACCCATGTAGAAATTTACTGTCAACAAAAGTCATAGACCTTACGCCTGGTATGGCAGTTCATCTTAGCACTTATGAGGCTAAGTCAGAGCTACATTGTTAAGACTTTCTCAAACACCAAACAAAAAGTGTATTGGAGCACTTTAAGGCACAGGCAGGTGGATCTCTTGAGTTCAAGACCAGCCTGGTCTATAAAAGCTAGTTCTAGGACAGCTAGGGCTACACAGAGAAACCCT